TGGAGTCTCACTCTGTCGCCCAGACTGGAGTGCAGTGGCATGCTCCCAGCCACCTCAGCCTCGACCTGCTGGGCTCTGGCAATCCCTTCCGCCTCAGCCTTCCAAGTAGCTGGAACTACAGGCGTGCGCTACCATGCCCAGCTAGTTTTTTTATTTATTGTAGAGATGAGGTCTCGCCAAGTTGCCCGGGCAGGTCTCGAACCCAGAGGCTCAAGCCATCCACTTGCCTCGGCCTTCCAAAGCGCTGGGATTACAGGCTGAGCCACCAAGCCCGACCAGGATTGTTATTCTTGCCTGGTTGTTTCTTCATCAGAAGAGAACAGCAATAGCTTGAATCTTAGATGTTTTTGTTTTGCCCTCCTTAGGAAGTCCAGAGACCTGCATTTCTTCATTATAAGTGATGCCAGCTGCTCTCTAAACTAATACTTGATGGCATTCTTCAAGTTCACCAGTTTTTCCTAGAGCAGAGCAGAACTATCACAAATCCTTAAGAACAGGAATTCTTGGGTCAGGCTTCATTAGGCTGTTAGTTATGCCATCCCAGGACAGCCCTTTTTAGGCCACTTCACCAGAGATCTGTCTCCTAACATGATATGTTGTGGTAGTCCTACCTAACACCAGCATCAACAGTTAGAGATAGTCTTCCAAACATAATAACCCCTAAAACTGAGGTAGAGGAAGCAGACCAATTAAAAGTGAGAAATCTGCAACCACTCACCAGGCTGTGTCATTGGTGTTTGGGGGTCACAAATAGACAATATAAGTACTATGTTATATGTCTGTGATACTGGCTTTAAAAACTATCCCTAAAGAAGTATTTCTAAAATATTCTGATAGGTATTTAACCTCCTGAGAGAAAACTCAAATGGATATTTTTCCATTTGTTCCTGTCATCTTTGATTTCTTTGAGCAGTGTTTTGTAACTTTTGTTGTGAAGATCTTTGACTTGGAAGGCTATCACTCATTAAGATATTGTTAACCTGTTTAGTTATAACATCTCATTTGTGAGCATGCAAATGAGTGAAAAAGTCTTCCCAAGAAAGCACATGCTTTCATCTTGGAAAGGAGGGAGAGAGGGAGGGAGGGAGGGAAAGAGGAAGAGGAAGAAGGGAAAGGAGGAATGGAAGATTAATGAAAAGCAAGTTACCTAAGACCAAAATGGAGATTCCGTCTCACTAAGTCTTGAATATAACTTTGACTGAAAGAAGTCTCATTTCACGACTATAGTCTCTCACTTTCTATTTTTCTTCCTTATAGAAATCCTTCTATGCTGGTATAAGCTATGGTGAACTTCATGAAGACTACACGGATCATTCAATGTCTCTGAGTACCTCTGAAACCTCTAAGACATCCAAGCTTACCATCAAGGAGACTGTGGTGAGGGTAGCAGCCAGCGGGAAGATTCTGAAGAAAAGACGGTTGAGTTTAAATCAACTCATCACTGATGATGACCTGGAGGCCATTGCCAATGATTCAGAAGAGGGTAAGGGGCCAGGCATAGTAATATCCTTGTGTTCTAGTTTTAAGTGAATAGAGGCCATAGAATATAGGGGAAAATAAAACCTGGTGTCAGAATAACTGCGCCAACGGACATCCAAGCATTAGTCTCACAACTATAAGGAAGGAAAATTAATTGTAACCTTCTCCAGCAAGGAGACCTTAGCAGTGGCCTGAATCTAGAATACTTACCCACAGGCTCATTTATTGGCCAGATTATAAAGACCATGTGACTTTTAGTCTTTCGGGAGTAAGCAGTTATATACTGCTAGTGGGTGACCACTTTTGGGCATGTTACTTAATTTTTATGTGCGTCAGTTTTTTCTACTGTAAAATGAAAATAATGAGTCCCTGGCTCATTAGATTGTTGTGAAGATTAAATCAGTCAATACTCCCAAACTTCTGCACTAGAATAATGTCTGGTACACAGTAAGCACCCAATAAATGTTGGCTGTTATCATCATCATCACCATCACTACCACTTTTATTAATACTACCAATACTACTAATTTGCTAATGATTAAGAGAGAGAGAAAAGATTCACCTCCCCAAGGTGGGGGAGAGGGCCAAAGCCAGGAAGCATGACAACAGCCATAGCTCAGAGAGCATATGGCCACACCAGAGTCTAGCAAGGCCGTGGCCTACACACAGTTTTATATCCAGTTTTTTCCCCCTAGCAATATATCAAGGACATTTTAGAGTGCCAATTTTTCACCATTATAAATAATGCAACAATGAGCCAAGTGTGGTGGCTCACACCTGTAATCCCAGCATTTTCAGAGGCCAAGGTGGGAGGACTACTTGAGTCCAGGAGTTCAAGACCAGCCTAAGATAACATAACAAGTCCTCATCTCTACAAAAATAAATAAATAAAATAAAAAATTAGCCAGGTGTGGAAGTGTACTCCTGTAGTCCCAGCTACTGGGAGGCTGACATAGGAGGTTCACTTGAGCCCAGGTTAGAGGCTGCAGCCACTGCACTCCAGCCTGGGGGGGAACATAAATATAGATAGATAGATAGATAGATAGATAGATAGATAGATAGATAGATAGATAGATAGATAGATATAGATATAGATATAGATGTTCGTTGTTGAATAATGCAACAATGAACATCTATATCAACACATTTTTCTTTCTACCACCATTTATTTCCTTAGAATAGATTCCTAGAAGTAGAATTATTTAGACACATAAGGATTTGTGAAGCTATTGATACATGCCACTTTCCAGAAAGGTAGTAGGTCTGAATTCTCAGTGGCACATATAATTTTTAATGAATTCATGTTTTTCTTAGAATGCATTCATTTGAAAATATAGATGGGAAATACTGGTAGTCTACCTGGTCACTTAGAAAGCCCCAAACAATAAAAAAAATGAGAAAGCTGCACAAGCAATCTCTTTAAAAAAAAAAAAAAAAACTATTGCCTGAAGAATAAAAATTTAAAAAGAACTATATAAGTCACCACAGGGATAATCCTGGAACCAATTCTACTGCTGACTGGGTGATTTCACTTCTCTCTGCTTCCTCACCATGACTAGATTATTCCCAGTGTCCCTTCCAGAACTACTTTCTGTGCTTGTACTAGAGTGTATATATTATCTGTGTTTGTACGTAGACATTAATCTGAACTTGTGATAATGGTTTTAGAAATCATCAAGCCCAAATCAGCACATTCCCACTTCCTGAGCAATGTGAAATACAGTCTTGTGAGGATCATCAAACGCCAGTTCATCCTGAATGATGCCCTCAATCAAAGTATAATTCGAGCCAGCTTGGATCAGTACCTCACAGCTGCTGCATTAAATAATATGGATGATGCAGGTGAATGGCCATCTCTGTCAGTCTTTCCTCCTTTTGCTTCTTTATTTCAACCTTTCTGCTTTCAAAAATATACTTCTTTAGGTTCCTAGTTTTTACTATTATTCTAGAATAGGTTGAAGCACATTGCCCTCAGTAAAAATCCCAGGCAAGGGCCAGGCATGGTGGCTCACACCTGTAATCCCAGCACTTTGGGAGGCTGAGACAAGAGAACTGCTTGAACCCAGGAGTTCGAGACCAGTGTGGGCATCTTGGCGAGACCTCATCTCTACAATAAATAAAAAAATTAACTGAGTGTGGTGGCACATGCTTGTAGTCCCAGCTACTTGGAAGGCTGAGGCAGAAGGTTCGCCTAAATCCAGCAGGTGAAGGCTATGGTCGCCATGACCATGCCACTGCATTCCAGCCTGGGTGACAGAGTAAGACTCCAATTCAAAAGAAACAAAGAGAAAAGAAAAGAAAATCCCAGGCAAAGACAGAAGCTTCAGCTAAATCTGAAGGTTCCACAGGAGAGAAGCCAGGCGCAGTAACTCAAATCTATAATCCCAGAACTTTGGGAGGCCTAGGCAAAAGGATTACCTGAGCCCAGGGGTGCAAGACCAGCCTGGGCAACTTGGCAAGACTTCATCTCTACAATAAATCAAAAAAAAGAAAGACAGTTCCACAGGAGAGAAGTCTCCTACCTTTGAGAGCACAAAGTGGAGTACAGGCTTGCTGATGTACTGTCTCCTTGGTTCTGTCAGATATTCCTATCTCTGATTTTAAAGACAAGGAAACTGAGTCTCATAAATATTAAATGGCTTGCTCAATTTACTCAGAAGCCAATGAAGAATAATCACTCTCTTTTAAAAAGCCTGCTAATCAAGCTTACAAATAACATCGAACTAGGAAGTCCTTTATTGTCTTTGATAACACAAAAATGCCAAAAGCTGCAAATATGATCTAAAGGATGAAATTTATTGTCCAAAAAATTTTGTCATACAGATCCAATTTCCATGGTGGACATGGTTTATCTTCAGGATATATCTACAGGATATGAAATTATTTTCAAAGAGGCAACTTTGTAATAAACAAGCGGGACTTATTCTTATTGGATACACTTCAACTAACATGCTTTCTACTTTACATTTACAAATTACTTTGTGTTCTATTTTCTTACTTAATATTATTTCACACAATTTTCCCAATATTGACATCATATATGTATTTGCCTACTCTTTTTTTTTTGAGTCGGGGTCTCACTTTGTCACCTAGGTTAGAGCGCAGTGGCATGATCATGGCTATCTGCAGCCTCCAATTCCTGGGTTCAAGAAATTCTCCTGCCTTGGCCTCCCAAAGTGCTGGGATTACAGGTGTGACCCACTGTGCCTGGCCTGTATTTGCGATTTTTAAGGGCACTAGAGCATTCAGTCATGTCACTGTTGGTTCCTTGGGTTTGTTCTAAATAGCTCTGTTGCCAATATCTTTGTATATATGATTTCCTTCTCCCTATCTGGTTATTTTTTTGGACTGTACCCTAAAGTGGAACTCTTAGATCAATAGATATAAATAATTTTATAGTTCTTACTAAACATGATTCTTTAAAGAAAACTTAACTCCTTTTCAGTTCACTAGCAACATATAAGTGTATCATCAGTTCACTAGCAACATATAAGTGTATCAGCTTCTAAAACCACTCTACATTAGGTCATCATGGACTCCATCTAACAAATTTCAGGGTTTTATCCCACAATATAATTATAAGAGATTCAACAAATACTTATTCAGCCTATAGGCATTCATTCAATATAGAAAATTCTAAAAACATTAACCAGTTATCTACCTGCCTGTTCAATGTAGCAGACATCATGAAGGATACAAAGATGTATGTATAGAATTCCATGCCTGATTCCTAGGTGTTTACACCATAGTTTGGAGAACCTAACTTACTTTCTCTCTCTCTCTCTCTCTCTCTCTCTCCCCCTCTCTCCCCCCCTCTCCCTTCCCCCTCTCCCTCTCTCCCTCTCCCCTCTCTCTCCCCACTTGATTTTATACAAATACCAATGGGTTTACTTTCTTTTTGGCTCTTCTCTTCATCAGTGAAATTTGACATGAGTGCTTATAAGCCAAGAGAGGATACTCCTAACTTTCCTGTGACTCTAAGAATCTCAAAAACTCGACTATTTGTGAGTGCCCAAGATGAAGGCCAACCGGTGTTGCTGAAGGTGAGTTGTCTTTAGTGTTCAACTTATCCTCACTCACATCTCATACGTTCATAAATGAGCCCAATAGGCAGACTCCCCTAGCAAGATGGCACTGTCCTCTTTCCCTCCTACTGCAGTCCCCACCTGCCCACCCATCCCTACCCAACTTCTCACTCATCCTCAGGGGCAATCCTCAGCAAGATCTGGGAGAGTACAATGGAGGTGACAAGAGTAAATAAGAGTTGTTACCTCCTTCTTTTTTTTTTTTTTTCCTTTTCCTGCCTGATTCCATTCACCTCCCATCCCAGAACATCTATTTATTCCATTTATCTTTAATGACATCTATTATCTGACCTACATGATAGGAGGCATTAGGACAATGGGTCCTGCCTCCAAAAAATTCAAATAAAGTCAACTGAGATTAGAGAGGATTAATTACCTGCCAATAGGAACAAAGCAAGAAGCTGGGCACCAAGGCTCAAACCCTGGCCTTCTGACTCTGATGCCTCTCTCTCTTCATTGGTGCCAACATTATCCCTCATCCCAGCCCGATCTTCACTATTTCTTCCTCAAACATGCTGACACATACGGACACACACACACACACACACACACACACGCATTGTATCCTTAGGTGTTTTCTCTACTGATAAGTAGGCAACTCCTGTTCCCAACTAGAATTTATGTGGCTGCATGTGTTTTTCTACCTAGATCAAGTAAAGTAAAAGTGATGTCTACAGAGTAGGGCAGTAGCTTCATTCATTAATTTTTTCAACAAGCATTATTTAATGAAAGACTTTAATTTTTCAAACAGAGTACTGGCAGCTATGTAGACAGTGGTGAGTCAAAGTTCCTAGTTTTATAGAACTTAGTCTTCGGTGGGACACAGACAATAGACAAGCCAACCAACCAACAGAAAGTGCAAGATGCTGCTGCAAGGAATATGAGTAGTGCACTAAGATCAAGAAAAATGGGAGTGTGCTATTCAGACAGAGTGGCAGGAGCAGAGCTCCCTGCGAAATGGGAGCACTGATAGGAGGGAGTGTGCCATGGTTGAGGTCTGGGGTTGGAACATTCTAAACAGAGGGGTCTGAGTGCATCCAGGCCCTAGGGCTTCCAGATCTTAAAGACAAGCTTTGAGAATCAGAAGAAGCAGTTTTGGAGCTGGGGTATTGTGAGAAGGAGGAAAGATATGTGGAGGCTAGTGCTCGCAGAGCTTGTATCTGGATTTTACTTGAGGTACAGTGAAAATCCATTAACAAATTTCAGACAGTGTAGTATCCTGACCTCACTTACATTTCCTAAAATGGAGAGTCAATCAGAAGGAAGGCAATAGAGAAAACAGAGAGTCCAGTTAGGAGGTTGTAACAGCAGTCATGGTGGATGGGATAAGAAAAACAGGTGGAAACCATGGGTTATAGTTTATATTATATTATATAAACTATATTTATATAGTTTATATTATAGGCTATAGTTTGGAGACATTACCAACGGAGGAAGAGGAGAAACTCCATGTACTGAGATGGGAAAAACTAGGGGGGAAATAGGTTTGGGGAATAAAATTCTTGCTAACATCAGAAACCCCAAGGAAAACTCAAAGGGATATGTATTTACTTTAGATTTTAAAAAGTAGAAAACAAGCATCTCAACTTGGAATTTGAAATCTATTTTCCATAATAATGTTAGATTCTATTCATACCCACAGAAAGAGTACATTCTAAAGAGACTATTGAAAGGGTTTAGCTACTGATGTACCTGGAAAATTTTGTGCGTGTGTAAAAATGTGTGTGTTTAACCTTCAATTGTTGACTTAAATACAGAGATCAATAAGCATCTGAATGCTAAATTTTTTCCCAAAGGTATGATTGACACACCCAAAGCTCAAAATGTTTATGGGCTTTAGAAGCATCCGTGCTCAGACTTGATGCAAGATGACTTATGCGTATGTTGAAGGCAAGACATGAACAATGTTTCACCCCATCTGCCTAGATACAGCAAGCACTAGTGTCATTGGCAATCCTCATAACTAATTTAGATCTCTCTCCAATCAACTAAGGAAATCAACTCTTATTAATAGACTAGGCCATACATCTAATGGCATGTCACAAATGTTTGCTGAGTGAACAAATGAATGAAAAGCCTATAACATTATATTAAAGTTCTGGTCCTAAAGTGCTATTTCCCACAAAGACCAAATGCCAAGAGATTCAGCTTCAGTTCTTTTTCTAGCATCTTCTTATTCTCTAACAGAATTATGTTCTTTTTCTCATAGGAGATGCCTGAGACACCCAAAATCATCACAGATAGTGAGACCAACCTCCTCTTCTTCTGGGAAACTCATGGCACTAAGAACTACTTCGCATCAGTTGCCCATCCACAGTTGCTTATTGGCACAAAGCAAGAAGATCTGGTGCAGTTGGCAAGGGGGTTACCCTTTATCACTGACTTTCAGATAATTGATAACCAGGCTTAGCTCTGGAGTTACTCACTTATGAAGTGTTGACAGTTCGTATGTACCATGTACATGAAGAAGTCAAATCCTTTACTCTTAGTCATATGCTGAGCAATGGTGCTGAGCCTTTGTAATTCTGACTGAATGTTTACACTCTTTGTAAGAGAAGTGCAAAGTCTGATAGAACCAACATTAACATACAGTGTTGTTTGTTATTTAAAGAACACCCTATACTTTGCACAGTACCAATCATTTTAATTATTATTCTTCATAACAATCTTAGGAGGACCAGGGATACTGACTATGGCTGTCAAAAAGACTCTACCCATATTGCAGGTGGGTTAACTAAGGAATAAGAAAACTAAGAAATACACACAATAGCAGTAAGAATGAGAAGGCACAGACTTAGGATTTCATTTCAACTATGTGCCTTCTGCTTGATAGATCCCTAATCAAATATTGTAAGTTTCTGGGACCTCAGTTTTACCATCTTCAAAATGGAAGAAATAATACCTATAGCCTTCCTTCCTCAATAGTTTTTTATGCCACTTAGTGATGTCATTTTGGTAAAATACTTCATGAAATTGAGTGTAAAGAAGGCAAAACATAAGTTATTTTAAAATTATGTATATATATTTATATATATATTCTAAGATAATCATAACATATCATTATATTTATGGAAACTCCTTGCATCCTCTGAGTGTAACCAGGCATCCTCAATAACAGCAGTGTTTTCCAGAGCTCTTTGGTCCAAGTCATGCTTTTTCCATAGCCATGAAACTCTGCGTTATCTAGTGCTTGGGAGCCCTGTAATCATGAAAATAAACTTACATTAGTGACTTTGTTTGAGCTGACTCTTTTGCCCTTAAACTTGCCTTGGCATTCTTGTGTCATTCAATTTCACTTGCAATCAAGTCTTATTAGCTACAATGAGATGAACTCAACTTGTCAAACCATGGAACCACTGTTATCTAAATTATCTTTTCTGGAATGTAATCAGAGTTTCGTCTAGGTTCTAAATATTGTGATCAAGCCATAGTGTTACATTATTTACAACAATAGCGATTGGTATATTATTATCAATCATAATTGAATAATGCTTACAACAAAATTGATCTGATACATAGTTATTTGTTGTATTAATCATCTTACTGCACAGTAATTATGGACAAATGGCAAAAATTTACACAACTAACTATACTTAGTGTTACTTTACAAACAAAGATTTTATATATTTTTTTACCCCTTTGTTAGCTGGCAGAATCACAAGTGGCATTAAGAATGATAATATCCCCAGGTTCAGTTAAAACTCAAATTATACAACACATGTGTTCCCAAATCACTCATAGAAGCCACATTAAAAACAACTAATGGATCCACTTGGAAAGCATGGATACAAGATATGTTGAGTTGGAAAATCAAGGTTAAAATCAAGGGAACTTGGAATTTGATGTGAAATAGATGGGTAAGGAGTAGTCCGAGATGACCCTGGTACTGGAGACTGGATAAATGGTGGTGTCTTAACCAGTTTTTGTTGTTGTTGTTTGTTTTTTGGTAGAAATATGGAGTTCTTCATTCCAGCATGATGTATCATGAGCGTAATTTTATTTTTTTTATTTTTTATTTTTTTATTTTTATTTTTTGAGTTGGAGTCTCACTCTGTCACCCAGACTGGAGTGCAGTGGCTGCTCCCAGTCACCGCAGCCTCGACCTGCTAGGGGCTCCGGTGATCCTTCCGCCTCAGCCTTCCAAGTAGCTGGAACTACAGGTGCGCGCTACCACGCCCGGCTAATTTTTGATTTATTGTAGAGATGAGGTCTCGCCAAGTTGCCTGCGGGCTCAGGCAATCCACTCACCTCAACCTCCCAAAGGCACAGGATTACAGGCTGAGCCACCGAGCCCAGCTGAACATAATTTTAGACATATAATTTGAGCCACCAGCAGGACACTCAAGTAAAGATGTACGGTGGATAGTTGATAATATATCTGGAACTCAGGAAAAATTAGACATAAATTTGAAAGACATCAGCAGATACATAGTAGGTAAAATTCTAAATGTGATATCAAAGAGAGAAGGATATAGTGAACTTTTTGGGTTGTCCATACAGTAGCCATCTCCCCTTCTTACTAACAGAACACTAATTTGTTCAGAAGTCAGCATGCCCTGCTCCAAATAATGAGTCCAATTGGTTTAAGATCAATATTCATTCTATTCTCACATGACTAAGTCATGTTGACTTGATTCTGTCTAATGATATGTCAATCTGCTGGGGAAACTTCTGGAAATGATTTTCTACCCTGATAAAAGAGTCATTTAGAAGAAGGTCCTTTTTCCTCCTTCCTTCCAGCATAAGACATGTTCTGTGAGAAGGTGAAACTTGGAACTGTGGTCGCCAGCTTGCAACCACTGAGAAGACATAGCCACACACTGAGGAACACAGAGTGGAAGGTAGAAAAGACCTAGCATCTCTGACAATATTGTTACCCTAAGATCCTACCTCCAAACTTTAAAAAAGCAAAAAAATTATAGTTATTAAGTCATTTTCATTGGGTTTGCTATTACTGGCAGTCAAACTCAGCCTAATTGATATGGAATGCCACAGAGACCCAGTTTCTTATTTGTTTTACCCCCGTTCTTTCTAGCAGCAATGACTTCCCTAGAGTTTCCTTACCCTAAGTCTAGCTAGAGTAAGACTAAATAAGACCTGCTTCCTTGCTGTCCTTTAGTTTTAAGAAACATTAAAGAACTACTTTATTTTTTATTTATTTATTTATTTATTTGAGTTGGAGTCTCACTCTGTTGCCCAGACTGGAGTGCAGTGGCTGCTCCTGGCCACTGCAGCCTCGACCTTCTGGGCTCTGGTGATCCTTCCGCCTTAGCCTTCCAAGTAGCTGGAACTACCACGCCCAGCTAATTTTTGATTTATTGTAGAGATGAGGTCTCGCCAAGTTGCCCAGGCGGGTCTCGAACCCGCGGGCTCAGGCAATCCACTCACCTCAGCCTCCCAAAGGCTCGGGATTACAGGCTGAGCCACCGAGCCCGGCTAAGAACTACTTTAATATTAATATATTTTAATATTTTAAAAATAAGAAAATATAAAACACTGAGCAACACAAACTCAAGAAATTTTAAAAGGTGTAATAGTTGCTCAGTCTCTGATTAACTGTGAATATTTGAATACAGTAGAAACTGCCTTAGAATATGATTTTCCCAGGACCAGCCCTCCATATCTTCTACCCCATCTCCCCCACTGCCTAAATGGCAAGAAAGTCACCATGATAAGGTTCAACAGTCTTAGCATTTGAAATTGTCGGAGTCTGTTTCTATTATAACGGTCTTATATATCAGTTTCAAAGCTGATGAGAGTAAAGTCAAATCCTTGCCTTAGAAGTAAAAGCCAAAAGATATTTCCCCAACTCTCCTCCCACTGAGTAGACTCCCTTGATATTTAAAAATACTTACACTTGAACTTTTGGGGGTGACAGGATGTTGAGATCACAATAATTATTGTGGTGGAGATATAATATGCTTGTGTATCTATATATCTAAATAACTGAATGAAGTTTTATAGTTTGGATTGTATATTTTTCTGATTTTTAAAAATAAATATATTACTGTATGACAAAATACCAATTTACACAAAGTTTATTATTTAAAAACATTTCATTGAACTTGGCCAGGCACAGTGGCTCACACCTGTAATCCCAGCACTTTGGGAGGCCAGGGCAGTAGAATTGCTTGAGCCCAAGAGTTCGAGACCAGCCTAGGCAACACAGTGAGACCTCATCTCTACAAAAAAATTAAAAAATTGGCTGGGTGTGGTGGAGTGTGCATGTAGTTCCAACTATTTGGGAGGCTGAAACAGAAAGATCACCTAAGCCCAAGAGGTTGAAACTGCAGTAAGCCAGATTTGCACCACTGCACTCCAGCCTAGGTGACAGAATGAGACCTTATCTCAACCCCACCCAAATTCATTGAACTATACATAAAATGGATTAATATCAATGTATGTAAATTATACCTAAATTAAGAGGACTTTTTGCTTTAATTTACAAGAAAAAAGTATCTCTATTCCATTTACTCCTTTGTATAACCAAAGCAGTCTTTTTTTTTTTTTTAAACTTCTCTCAACCCAAGGCATGAGATGTTTACTTATCTTAAAATGCCCTATAAGGTAATTTATCTGTCTTGTGGCTATATTGCTTTTTCCCTTATTTCCTTTCCTACAGTCAATGCTACTGGACAAAAACATCTTTGCTCCCTCTTCTCAAAAACTTACCTCTTACCTATTTTTCTATCAGAGTGGCTGACAAACAATAATGGATGGGTCTTAAGCAATTTTATGAGAACAGACATTAAGCCCTGAAGGGTGGTAAAATGAGGTCTTCAAACCTGGGACCTTAACTCTGGAGATACTGATTCAGTCAGCTTGTATCAGGCCTTGAACACCTTATGTTTTTAAAGCCACAATGGGAACTCTCATGTTTGACACTGAATTAAGGCATCCCCATAGCCAAAGATTGTTTGTCATAGTTAACAATGGCTTCTCTTTGGGAAAGCCAATCCAGTGTTAAAGAAGTATGCTGGGTGAGGTGGCTCACGCCTGTAATCCCAGCACTTTAAGAGGCTGAGGCAAGAGGATTCCCTGAGTCCAGAAGTTTGAGACCAGCTTGAGCAATATGCCAAAACCTTGCCTCTACAATAAACCAAAAGTAGCTTGCACCTGTAGTTCCAGCTACTTGGGAGGCTGAGGCAAACGGGTCATCTGAGCCCAACAGGTCGAGGCTGCAGTGGCATGATGGTGCCACTGCACTCCAGCCTGGAGGACAGAGTGAGACTGACTCAAAAAAAAAAAAAAAAGAGGAGAGAATACAGGAGTCCCATCCACTTAGCAGAGGGCTTCTAACAGCCACGAGGACATCAGTGGGACCCATTTGGAAATAGGATGCCCAACAGCAAGTCCCCATTCCATACACTTACTGATACTTGTGTAGAAGCTGCCGGGCCTGGCAAGTAGGTGCTTGCCCTTGGAGTCACTCTTCCAAAAGGTCTATAACATTTTGCCCAGTTGAGAAAGGCCTATAGAACATGGAAAATGTAAGGGGATGGTCCCTGGCTTATCCTCTTATTTCTCTGCACCCCAAAACCAACTTTGGCTCCTAGCATGGCAACAAAAGGTCTGATTTCCAG